TATATACATAAATATATGTACAACAGTGATTCTATTTTACGTTCCCTTGTTCAATCACTATTAGCTTTCTTTCTTTTCTTATGATTCTGGGCAACATTCAACATTTTGTTCATTTTACATTGGCCGGCTTGGCTAGAATCTTCTTCTTCTTTTCTTTCGTTATTCGTTTCTTCTTCTTCTTCTTCTTATGTACTTGCGATACTTGTGAAATGAGAAAAAATCGAAAAAAAGCCCGCCTTTCGTTTTTTTTTGTTCCTTGTTTCTGGCTAATGATGCTTATTTCAAATATAACAATCGCGAAACAAATAGATCTCACACAAATCTTTCCCTTGGATCATATCATTACTTCTTCATTCCAATGGTAAATGTGGAAGAGCGACAATGGGTGACTGTAATAGCAACGGATTTCCAATTGATAAAGATGGAAAGTGTATAACAGCAGAGCAGCGATTATCTTGTTAGTATTTTAGATTGAAATAGATTCATTTTGAAAAAATGGCTGATGAAGCTAGTCAAAACATTGAACAAGAAGAACAAAATGCTACGAAAGCCGCAGCCGATGAAAATGCTCGCGAACTTCGCAAAGAAAATAGCGAACACAGTGATAGCGATGATGAAGTAGTGAAACATACATCGAAATTACCAGATTTAACCTCATCCTCAAGCGGCAAAACGAAACGAGAACAACCCGAAATGAATATTCAACTTCAACGTTAAATGCAAGGTTTATATACCCGTATTTATTCAAGCTTATGTTCACATTCCTGCACTTTTTTGCCTTTCGATGTGTTCGCTTCTTCTTATGTTTCGTGAGTTATTCATTCGTTCGTACGTTCGTTATTCTCGCAATGTTTTAGTAGAGGAAAAATAAAATAGTTTTGACCTTCTTGTTCGAGATTCGAACAACACACAGATAAAAGATGAGCCGTCGGTTTTTTCCTGTTCTTTTCGTTCGTTGAACACATATATGCTACATCGTACATCTATGTGCTTTATTTACTAATAAATTTGCGTGAGATGTGATGCATTGAAAAAGAGAACGAAGAAGACAAAACTCACATTCATTCTGCTCGTGATTTTCCATTCAGAAAACAATTAACCATGAATGGAGCGAAAATGTCGACCGTTGTCTTGTTTTTTTTACTTTTTTATTCGTCTCGAGCAGCGGCGAGACAAGAGAAGAATGTACGTCTATATATATATACACACACACAGAAAAGCAGAAACAAAAAGAAACGTATGGATAACACACGAATATAGGTATAATAGTAACGATATAGTAGTCTCGGCGTTTACAATACGCCTTACATACGAAACCAGAAAGTAGAAGGAAACAAAACAACATTGAAATAGAATAGAAGACAAAAGAAGGAGCACATTATCTGCAATGAATGATGAGATAGAGAATGAAGATATGTCTACAGGATACACACACGAAAAAATAGATGTTATATCATTATATATATATACATGTTATTCTTTTGTCTCTCAAATAATTAGTTTACTTTTTGCTGGCGGCCTTTTTTGGGCTTTTGGGTTTCTTGGCAGCCGGTTTGCTCGCTTTTTTGGCTGGTTTAGCTGCACTGCTGGATGATCCACTTGCACTCGACGACGTGGATGGAGCAGCTTTCTTAGATTTTGGTTTGGATGCACCGGCAGCTTTCTTTTTTGGTGATGCGGCCTTCTTCTTTGGACTCTTGGCTTTAGCACTGCCTGCAGCTTTTGGTTTAGCGGCTGCTTTTGATTTTGGTTTAGCTAGAAGAAGACAATTCGTAATGAACGCTTTGGTTTTCGTTGTATCAAATCTACGAACCTGATTTCGCTTTTTTGGGTGCGGCAGCTTTCTTCTTTGGAGCAGCAGCAGCAGCAGGAGCAGCTACAGTGGCTGAGGCATTGGCATCGGTTGTTGCAGTTGGAACGTTAGTAGCTTTGGCAGCTTTTTTTGTCGATGCTTTCTTTGTTGGAGATGCTGAGCGTTTACGTTTTGCTTCACCGGCAGCTTTTCCTTTGCTTGATGATCGTGCTTTCTTTGGTGATGCACCAGCAGCTTTCTTGCTTCCACCTGGTGTCTTCGATCGGCTGCGTGGTTTGGTTGCGGACGATTTTTTCGCTGCGGCCTTCTTTGTACCGGTTGCTGATTTGGCTTGCTTAGCTGGTGTGGCCAATTTAAAGCTTCCACTTGCACCAACACCTTTTGTTTGTTTCAATGTTTTATTTTTTGTACCGGCGCGTAATGCAACTTTAAGGTGTTGATTGGCAGTCGCAGCATTTACTTTAAAATTAGCTAAAATGTATTTTAGAATAGCTGCTTTCGATGTACCATTACGATCATTCGATTGTGTTATTGCTTGTTTAATCATAGCGGCGAATTTTGGGTGGTTGCTTGCGCTTTTCGCTTTTTTGGTTTTATTTGCTGATGAGCCAGCGGCCTTTTTCTTACCTTTACCAGCAGCAGCACTAGCTGATGTATTAAGGTTGGATGAAGCAGCAGTATTATCGGTCATTGTTCTTGAATTAATGAATATTTCTTGTTTGAAAAAAAGATGAAATGGATATGAAGCAGAAAAAATTTGTGTCTGTAGTGTGTATGCGCGCACGAGAGAGCGATGTCGATAGAATGAATGAGAATGGTGGTGGTAATGTTGGTGTATGTGCGTCGTCGCCGTCGTCGTTGCCTTTTTTCCTCTCCTTCCTTCTCCCAAACGACTCGAACCGCACATAGGACACCTTTTGTCGTTCGAACTATCATTAGATTGTTCAAGCCTTCTTTGAAAAATGGCAAATATTTTCGTTAAAATTAATGGAATAAAAAAAAGATTTTTCTCCGATCGGACAGAGAAGACTTTTTTCTATCGAATGACACCGAACACGACGGGAAACCTGTGGTGTAATATCGAAAAAAAACGGTAACAAGTCGACGAACAAGATGAGTTCGAGTGAATATTTGCCAAGAATTTAATTATTTTATCGAAATGAAAAACTTTTTTTCTCAAACATTCTACATGAATTGGTAGAGAAAAGTGTCTTCTTTCGAATGACTATCGAAAAAGTTCGAAACTCGTTCAAATGCGAAGGCAATTTTGGCAAAATGCGAAGGATCTGGTGAACAAAATGGCCATACAAGAAACAACGCACGACACATCGACAGCGCATTGCAATAGAGTATCATCGACGATGTTGTTGCCAGTTATTACTTATATTCTCAGAGTCAGACTAGATTCCGGATAAATTTAGGAAACCTATTCACATCTCTCTACGTCATAATCTTTCGTTGATTTAATGAATAAAGATCGATTTCATTATTAACATAAATGACACTAATCTTTCGATCAGTTTCTCCTAACTCCAAATGATTAAGTCAATCGAGTATGATGATTGTTTATGTAATGATCGTGTGTAATCAGTATTTCTAACAACTTATGCAAATACCTTCTTCGAAGTGTTAAGACAGCAAACGATCCGCTGCTCGTCTTTCTTAATTACAATAACAAAATTCAAATCAATCTTTCATGAATTACGTTTTATATCTCGAATATGTCTACACATGTGTTGTGCTCACATCCGATAAACCATATTGCTCAATATACAGTAAATGAAGATGTGTGTATATGTCTCTCCGAAGGAGGTCTCATCAAAACACTATATTACTCAATGATCAAGAATATCATGTCGTTTTTGAATGGAGAAAATACATTCTTGTCAAGGTCAAATAGCGAAGAAATCAGCAAAATGTTGTTTTTGTGTGTGGAAAGAATTCATTTGGATTTCTCATGATCGATAGATAAGAACTTCGAATGAATTGGTGCGGCTATCACGTTCATGAAACAATGCGGACCGATGAGTGTTTATCTTAGTGAAATCCTAACACTTGATAGTGACGGTGTTAGATCATCAAAGTGTAATGAAAATGACAACATCGTAATTGTCATGGTTCAGACGAAATTCAATTGAACAAATTGAATGTATTTATTTATCTATCCCTATAGGAACAATCGAAATAAGCGTGAGAAAATTTTTTATCTTCTTTACACGTGTTGTTTTCACTTTTGAACAGAATTGTATTTGACACTTCGAAGACGAAAAATTCCTTCTAACAGCAAACATAGATGTCTGAATTCTGTCAGAATGTCAATGAATATTCAACTGCTTGTTGTTTTTTAGAAAATAAATCAGAAAAACGAAGATTTCAACATAACGTCGGACTATAATTAGATGCAGTTTCAATTTAATACATTTGAACTCCATATCTTTATTCTACTATAAAAGTAGAAGTAGATTTATTCCGAACCGACTTACTGGTAACTCACACATGTATTCATATCTATTTTCAAATATGTACATCTAGGGTTATATCTATTTCAAGAGTTAATTTCATATCGAGATTAGTTTTTCAAGTCTCTGTTTCAATTCAAACTCGAATTGGACATCTATTTTGACAACATCTTTGCTACACTATGAACTAGTTAAACTCTGACCTAAATAAAAAGATCAATTTTTACCCATATCTTGATTCGAAATCTATTTAAATCATCAAAGATGTGATTGTTTCTAATCATCAAATCTAACTATTTATCACTCGTACTCAATTGACATTGATATTTTCTTAATCAATTCAATCAATCATCAAATGTCATATTAAAACTATATTGACCGAAAAATATCATTTACCATTTGAAAAAAGAAAAGCGCTTCATTTGATAGATCTATTTTACGCATCAACTATCTCACCAGTTTATTTGTAGACTAAAATAAATACAATAAAATGTCACACACTCACGCGCGCGATTGGTCATTCACTTTACAACAATTAGGTTCAGTTTGTTCCCCCGAATGAAAAGAGCAGTTGAGATACATCACTGTTGAACGTTCTTGATTTTCTTTTTCAAATAAATTGCCGAAGTAGACGAATAAAAATACTCTTCCAAACACACACACGCACAAACAAGCAAATCATTCACAATCGAAAATGAATTAAGAAGACAAAAGCAAAAAAAGAAGCTTTAAAGAAATTTTAAGATTGTATTTGCTAAAATGATTGTGAATATCGACGACGAGGGGAGGATTGATAAAGCAGAAGACGAGTGACTTTCTTTGGATCGTCGTTGCATATTAGTTGTATCTAATGATGAACGTAGAGCAAACAACGGATTGCGTGTATTCTCTAAAAAAACCCGAACAGAACAAGAAGTTAATCAACATTAGTTCAAAATATAGTTGAACATTAGAGTGATAATCAAGACAAAAGACAAATCTTGCTGAGAAATGTATGAAGTCGAATCTCTTGAGAATGAATTACGACTTTTATAGTCCACATCATCATTTGTCTATTGTCGTGTTCTCCTCAAGCGTGATACGTACCAAGAACCTTGACATGAAAGATTTTTGATATTGGTTTAATTGCTGTTAACACACAACTGTAATAACCTTCATCCGACGTATGAACATTTCGAATTTCCAGATTCCAATATTCCCGATTATCTCTTTCGATCATATGAGTCAGATGGTATCGACTGAACGGAGTATATTTCAAGAGATCAACGAATAGAAGATTGGTTAATTTTTGGGTTTCATTCATGAATGTCACGCGTGACCATGTGACCTAGAAGAAGTGACGAATTAGATTAAGGAGACATCCAAGGGAATGAAGAGTTACGTGTTGACGATTTTTGTTTTGAATTATGCAGGATAATTTTGCGGTATGATTCACATAAGTGATAATTTCATTTTGGGTGGAGATGATTTCGGCTTCGGTGTTCGCTGATGTGCCATCAACTTTAAGAATATAAACAAAAAAAATATATATGAGCACTTGACTTGACAAGGTTTCTGTCCGTCTGACAATTTGATGATGTAAGGAAAAAATGAAGCAAAAGTTCAACTCCGGCATGATTCTTTTCATCTTTATTGACTATATCTCGTCAATGACATATGTTCCCGTGAGAAAGACGAGAAATGTGACATATTGCTCGTATACATAACATCGTATGATCGATGAAAATCGATCAGTCAAAGAGAAGAGAAAATCGAGTCATCAGAAACGGTACGGATCGACATATTTGTTCATTCATTTATTTTGAAGAATTCTTAATTGGAAAAAAGAGAAGTGAGGTGTCATTTGGTTTTAATGAACATCAGTCATACAAGAGAGTGATGCATCCAGCTGTGTATATTTTGCCTCAAGGTTTTTCATTTTTTCGAAAGAAAACTTATTTAATGAATCTGTATGTATAACGAGAGAAAGGAAAGAAAGATAGATAGATAGATATGTATTTAGACATACTTACCGATAAGTAAAGTCATCACAATAGAATAAAGAAGACAGGCAAGTGTTGCTCGTCGGACAATAGAAACAGCCGTTAATGTCTGCTGTTTACATTCCATTGAATGAATAGGAATATGAAATGAATTTTAGCTAGTCAGAACAGAAAACTTGTCGTTGCTGTATGGATAATATATGTATATATTCAGATGCAAAATTGAATTTGATTCGTTCGAATACTAGTTTTACAGAAATGATAATCAAACATGTGTTAAATGCATTGAACTCTGTCGAATGATAATTTTCACAATGATAATGGTAATAGGAGTCGGAGTAATCGAACGACGTTATAATACAATTAAACCATTAGATGCCTTTGTCTAGAACAAAGAATGAGAAGGGATAGAGAGAAAAATGAATACTCTTAATATACATATATCTATTTATCTATCTATATGTATATAGTGATTAACATGAGAGCACATACACATATATGTATACATTGAAAGTAAAAGATGTGAAAAGACAATATATTCAACAATCTGATGAAGAAAATAAGCAAGAAGGAGAGAGAGATGAGTCAGTGCATTGTTATTGTACATGTTGAGTCAGTTTTATCGTTCGAATCTTTCTACTCTTTCCTTCGATTAATCAAAGAGAAAGGAAAAAGAAAGATCAACGACGGAGTTATCATTCAATCGTCATAGAATTATACCTGTAATCTTTTCTTCATGAAGATAGTCGCTAGGGAAGAAGAAGAAGATATTATTCGGAAGAGAACGACTTATTCACTATCACTTGCTGAAAGATGCATTTCATTAAGTTGTCTTCTGAGAACGGACGCATATACATACTTCAATGCTCATCGTCGCCTTATCTCGATGGTGAGTCTAACGAGCTCTTCCAGTCATTTATTCATTTATACACATACACGCACATGCCTTATCATATGCGTTTTTTTCGCCTGCCTACGTTCACAATTGATTATAGCGATCACGCAATTCGCGATCTCTCTATGTATGTATATCTCGATGTGATGTGTATAGAGAAAAGTAGACGACGACAGGTTTCACACGCTGTCTATCTACTCGAGGGCATCAGGTCGCTGCATCTCAAAAAACATATATATATATATACATACATGCACCCGGATGTGATGGTATACTAATGATTACATCATTCACCTGTGTAATTCTTTCTTTCTATCTCGTGCTGTCTGATCGATAGTAGATAATCGGACTTTGATTGTTGGGATGTGTTTGTTTAGACACGCCGAACGATCTACTACGCAGACTCCTGACTGAGTCTAACGAGCGATCGATCACACATATACATACGTACATACCGAAACGTACAAAGATAATATGAACGAGTAAAAGTGTAAAGAAAAGAATTGTTGATGCCAATGTCTTTACTCGTCGTTGTGGCAATTGCAAGGATTCATCACAGAGTGATTGTTTTCTGTTGGTCTCAAACAAACACATACAAACGGAAGAAAGCGAAAGAGAGAGAGAGAGAGCAAGTGAAAGAACGGCATTTCATACATTGGACTGTTTAGATAAAATAAAACAAAGAAGGGAAGCAACTGTTGATGTGGTGATTCCTGATATTAGAGTGCTCGATGCATGATGTAATCTGACCGTAGTGGACTTTTAGAGCTTGCCAAAACAAAGAAAAAGTTATTTGGTAGAAGTACTCGTTAAACTGAACTTTGAACATGAGAATAATATCGAATAAATAAGTAGTTTTTCGAAATTTCCCAATAATCTACTAGGACATCCTTGAAGAAATTGGCTCGTATTTGCAAGTAGATAAATGAAGAACAGAAATGACAAAACCGACCTAACCATAATCTAGAAGAGCAATCTACAACAGCCTGAGTACTCACTTGGCATTGACTACAACTAGGAAATGTGTATTGTCACAGAAAAAAAGAAAATATATTGAACATGAAGGATAATGTATATGGAAGTGTTGAAAATTAAACATCAAGTTTTTTTTTGTTGCTGCCACTGTTGATGTTCTATACTCAGCGTGAATGATGATTGAACAACACTCTACATATAAATACACATTAGAGTGTTGCAGTAAAAGCGAAAGAGTGAATAAAACATGCCGTTCGATGAGCACAATGTAATGTAACAATGCGAATAAAGTCAGAAAAGAGAAGAGAGAAGAGAAGAGAGGAAAGAAAGGAGAAAAAAGAAAATGGCATTGAACCTGCGACGTGATGTCCACAAAAGTCACGCACCATCAGTAATATCCCAAACAGAAATAAAGGAAACGCTAGCCAGTTCTTCCGTTCGTCTCCTATACAGCTCAGATTGATTCATACATTCAAATGTAATTGACCATGCATCTATACATACATATTGCATAAGAATTAAAGGCAATTCTAATCAGGATAGACACAAATTGTTGCTTACAAAAAGAAAAAGAAAAGTAATTTGAGCTTTTAACCATTGATATCATCGATGTTGTATCAAAGAGAAATTAGCTCAATTTTTTCCTTTGAATGCAACTCACTTACACTGTCTTCATGCCTAAGAATGTGAATGAGAGCGAAAGAGAATTGATGTGATGTGTACAAAGAATTTTCTCCTTCTCCGCCTCTCTAAGCATCACATTTTCAATGTGTATTGATGAACAACGAATGACTGAATGAAAATGCGTACGAGAAAGGAAAGAGAAATGGCGTTGTGTTGCACCAACACCACTATCCATCTAAGTGACCCATTTCCGATTCGTTTACTCCGATAGTCAAAGCAAAAGCAGTCTCATTAAGATATGAAAAACGAACACAAGGTTGTCTAATGTTTACCGTCGCAATGAACAAATTTAACTAGCATCAGTTTTCTCTTCTCACGACCCTTTCAAGTTCAATGAAGCTCATCATTCGCTCATCAGAAGGAAATGAAAGTGATTTTCTTTTGCTTTTCATAATCATAACACAAATATATAACCAATAGAGAGAAAACTACATGACATGCTGCACATCCGCTTCCTCTATTACCTATCTAGACATCTTCTACCTTCTGTAGTTCGTAAGGCGGCCGTGTGCATCGGTCAATGCGCTGAGGAAACATAACTACATTTATCTGTCGCCGTTCGATTACTTAATTTTCTCTCTCTCTCTTCTTCATTTCAGCTGTTCGGATTTCTTAGTTAATGAACCAAATGAACAAGTCAGAAGATCGAATGGAGAAGACTAAACTAACAATGACAACAGCAGTAGAAGACGAGCTGGGAGTCTATAATTCAATACTAAAGAAAAACTAAAGGCGAGGAAAAATTGAATTTACTTCCTAATGCTGATCAGATTTCTTACAATGTTTAAACAAGGATTTCCTTTACCAATCGAAATAGACTAAAACGAACAATGTTTCTGTTGTATTTCACTTCCCTACACAACTTTGTTGTTAGCTCGCTGAAAATTGTCTTTGTCAATGTCTATCACGAGCAGAGAATTGCATCAATCGAGATAAATACACATCGATGTCTAAGACATGCTGAGATAAATGAGAAAACTACATTACTAGTAGATTCCTACTACTGTGATGATAATAATAATTCTTTGAAGTGAATATTTGATATATGTAATACGGGTTTCATAAGAGATGATGTCATCACTAATCTATTTATTAATGATACGAAGATAAGAGAAGATGATCTTACTAATTGTATTATTCTTCAAATTTTCGATGATGGGAATGGTCAGTTGTGGTTTATTGAGAGAAATTGTTGCTGACATGGAGTATCAGACCGCTGTATTTCTTGTCTAGAGAAGAGCAACTACCTTGAAGGGACGACATACAATATATTAAAGTGTATTCACTGTATTTATTCTTCATCAATTTTTTAGTGACAAGCGAAAGGTCGAATTTCTAGTCCAAGGTCGAACTTATCCGGTATCACAACTCATCTGATATAGAGAAATACGATAGTATCAATGAACGTGTATAATAACAATTCGAGATCAGTTTGAAGAAAGAAAAACAACAATCAAACTTACGCATAGAAGTGGCAAATTCTCTGTTCATTTCAAATAAGAATCTTATCTCGATTATCCAAATCGATCATTTACCGGTAAGAAGCTCAGTTTGAAATCGATCGTTCGGAAGAAAAGTAGTCGATTATCCGTTTTTCTTACTTCTGAAAAGAATGCACTTTCAAACATGAACATGTCGACTATTAATTAACTCTCTGCTACTTCGCACATCAGTTTTTAACCAAGGCCAGACAAATATCTATGATAAACGACATCGAAGAATATTTCATCTTACTCCCGACTGATTAGATATGACAGATAATTAACAACTTCATAATTAGAAGTATTTTTTAAACTTGTGATTTTCATATCTAAATATAATATATATGTAAAGTGAAACAATGTTTCTCGTCTTCTTTCGGTATGTTCATGTACATTGATTAATGAAAATGTGTTGTCGATAGTGATGTTTCTGTTGGCTTAATGATACCTTGGAAGGAATTCATCGTAGTCGATTGATGTTCATGTAATTATTCATCTAAAACTTGAGACAACATTCTACATCGAATATTAGCATTATTATCTTGCAAGACACGGACAGAATGAGGGAGAGAGAGAGAGAAAACTCATCAGTCAAAATCTTGATAGATAGTTCATTGTTTCATCTTTGTTATATAATCCGGTTCTCAAGTTCAAGTTTCTCTCATATTCGTCGATTTCTTTCATAATGTTTGATCTGTTCTCCACCACACACACACTCACAGACAGAAAAGAGAGAACTGTCGACCGCTGCCAAGCATAATTTTAATATCCTGTTCATATTAGATAATTAATGTTCATTCTGTCATTTGAAATCAGTCGATGAATTCCATAGAAACTCATATATCATTGTCCTTTAAAATATCCAATAAAGATCCTTTTCAAAGGTTTCCACATGTACGTATATATCATACGAATTCAATAGAAAAAAAAACTTAGTGTTGTAAATGTGTGCGTAGTGTTAAGTCTGGAAGAAATTGTATAAATCATGTTCACCTTCCACAACACGATTTTGACACATTTATTTGCTGAGAGAAACTAACCGCAAACACGAAGCAACATCAACAAAAAAAGAGGAAACGAAAACACGAATTCGAATGCAATGAGCACGCTTATACACCAAACACACACACACTGAAATTGAACTTGAGAACGAAGAAAAAGATAAAATAAGTAAGGCTGTTGTTGATGATGTAAATACCAAGAGGAGAAGGCAAAGCAAATATGACAACTCCTGTCCATATCGACAGACTGTATTCGGTTTTACGAAATAGGAAAATTAAATCGTAAAACATACAGCGAAGGGAAGAAATGTATGTGTCAGAACTCGAAGAAAAACTATTTCTGATGACAAACATTTGCAAATGAAAATGAAAACGAAGAGAGAAGATTAATTGAAATCGAAAAAACGAAACTTATCTATGATTTCTGACTGTTTGATTGTCATAGTCAGAGAGATAGATAAATACATACAACAGCAACAAAGAAATACTGTAGAACAAGATGAGACAATGAGAGGAAAAAAAACAAGTTTTAAAGCTTATCCAACGCACATGGAGATAGAAGCTAGTCTAGATTATACCGTTGTGTGTTGAGACGGAGCAGAAAAAAGAGAGAGAGAAAGAAAAACGGTTTTGTTTTAGGATATTATACTGTTGGTGGTGGTGATGGTGGTGATCATTCTTAAATGATACTATCAGAAGATGTATTTTGTTTGATAAGGAAGCAGAAAAAAGAGAGAAAAAAGTGAAGAAGAGAAGAAAAGATCAGACACGATTTTCTTCGTTTAGTGATTTGAGTTTCGATCCATTAAGATTGCCGTTAGAACCATTTCGTTCACTGAAATATTCGATAGGGACGATGGCTAAAAAAAATAGAAACGAAAATTAGGCATTCGAATATCAAAAATGAATAGATGCAGTTTTGGATTTGAAAATCGAAGAGGCAAAAGCAGAATATGTGTTTCTACAGAGAGCATATGCAAAGTGAAAGATCGTTGGTTTGCTTTGATAGCTCTAGTGCAAATGAATATTGGTTTCGGTTGAGTTTTGTTTATCTTACCCACGCATATCATCGAGACCGTAGGCTGAAAAATATATATCAATTGTGACTATGTTGATATTTATAGAAACTACTATGTAACTTTAACTAATTCGAAAAAGATACATGCGTGATGAGAAAATGTCAACGGAATCACAATTACGCGGGAGCAAAAGAGATTTTTTTGGTTGTTTTCGTACCTCCTTCGGCATCAGTGACGATGGTTGGAAAATTGGGTCGAACACCAACTGTTTCATGTTCAATTGTTTTACCTTGTAATTGTTCACCACATGCAGCACAATAGATACGAAGTGCGTAAGCTGGTTCTCCATGTTGAAACAAATCAATACCTTGAAAAGAGCAAAGAACATCATAGATGGAGAATACTAAAGATCGCAATTTACCTCGTAATTCTTCTTCATTAGAAACTTTGAGTAAACGAAGTAATTTAAGTACTAGGAAGAGAATCGCAACAAAGATAGCTGTCCAAGCCATGACCACTGCTGCAGTACATAATGAATTGAGTAATCCCTATGTAAATATGAATATTGAAAAGATAGACTAGTTTGTCGTGCTATATCCGTACCCGCCAGCTTTCTCCAAGAGTAATTCGATAGATTATTGAGAAAGTATTATTTGCAAAATTGCCATCAGCTTGAGCTTCAACTGTTCGTCGAAAGATTGGTACAGCAAAAATGCCCCATAGACCTCCACCAATGTGAACTATTAAACAAGAAAAAGAAATCAACGAAAGTCATGTTTAGTTTTCTGTTATACCAGCTGCGGTTTCAACAGGATCATCAACATGAAGTTTAATCAATAATTTGCTCCATAACAAGAAGCTCAATGCAGCAATGAAACCAACAATTATTGCAGACCACGGATTGTAGGTGACAGCTCCTCCAGCAACGGCAACCATACCAGCGATAATAGAGTTTACAGTCGATAAAAACACACGTCGCTTAAGATGACGGGCAGGTTTTGCAAATGCTAAAAGAAAAGGTTGAAATAGAATTCCGTTCGAGTTTTATGCGAAAGTCATACTTTCAATAAGACGTTGTAATAAGTAATAAGCTGCTCCTGATGTTGCACCCGATAGAACTGTATTAATCAGACCGTGTCCTACACGATCGCCATAGGCTACACCTGAAATACGATGATCGGCACCTGAATTAAGTACGAAAAAGCCAAACGCAACAAGAATTGCGCCAACTGATGTGATCTAAACGAATTCAAAAGCGAGATTTTCTCAACTATCAAAGAAATCGTTCTCATATTTACAGGAATACTGTGACCAAATAGAGGTAATGTCCGTGGCTCGAATCGACCGAAACGTGGTCCAAGAAAGATTGTACCAATCAAAGCCGCTACACCTGCTGTTAAATAAATGATTGCACTGCCACCATAATCCTAATTTTACAAATTCAATCACAACGAAATTCATTGGTCAATCGATCTTACCCGTGCACCGACAACATAGCCAAGCCAACCGTTTGCACCCCACATCCAATGTGCAAGGAATGGGTAAACAAAACCTGCAGAAATGCATGTAAATCAAGATATTTCTTCTGAAGAAATCTCTCCTACCAGACATCAAAATTGAGAAGAGTACATAAACGATAATTTGACATCGTTCAGCAAATGCACTCGCAGCAATATTTGTTACAAGAAACGTAATCATATATTGATAAAAGAAATGAATGTAAGGATCTTGATTATTCAAATTATAGACATTATTCGAATTGGTGAAATTATCTACGCCTGGACGATTATACCATGCCCCGAACTGTTCACTTGCCCAGAATCGTGTACCTAAGATAACATTGGGATTTCCACCAAAAGCGAACGGATAACCAATAATCCAATAAGCCAATGCCGATGAAACTAGAATTGATCGTTCTTACTCATCACAAGTCGTTTTCTTTTCACTTACTGAAGATCACGAGTGTTTTAAAAAGACTGTGACCTGCATTTTGACTGCGAACACCACCTGATTCGATAAGTGTGTAACCACAACTCATTACTAGAAGACGAAATCATTCGTTGTACATATGTTTTGAATAAAAGCGAATTGACTTACGAAAAATAATAACCCCATTGAACAGAAGAAAGAAACTTTCGACTGCTTGTTGGATTTCATCAGTTGTCGCCATGACGCTGAATTTCGATCGTCAACTATTCAAATATGAGATATCTAACAGAGTTTTCTATTCTTTGTCTAGAATAAACACAGACAAGACAAACTATAGATAGATATTTCAAGGTTTTAAAACAAATAAAAAAGAAATGGATTGTTTTATTTTTGAGGTTAGACCTTTCGAATAAAAAAAAAGAAGAAACATCATAACAAATCGTTTTCACTGTTACATTGATTGATTTTCAACATGTGACGCTCGTTATGCACACTAACTGGTAAGACGATATCAAATCTCATCTCATACTACGAATACTGACTGTGAAACAGTATAAAACATTGTTATCAATCTGATTCGATTTCTACGTGTAAAAATGCTTGATAAAATTAATCTTCTTCTTTTTCTCCTCAATAGATAATCCAGGGAAATGATTTGCTTATTCATCGAATAGAATATCCATGCAAGTTGATGACTTACTTTGAATGAAACAACGAGAGAAAATTGAAGTCGACTCTCGGCTGATAACTCGAACAGTTTAACTTTTATTTAATGCCAAGAAGAAACGAGATAGACAGAGTCGGTCCGAAAAAAATACCAACACCAATGCAAACGAGAATCGAGAGAATGTGAGAAGACGAAGAAAAAGAAGAAGATCTGTTTTCTCTTTTGCTTATTCGAATGCCGCTCCTGACGAGAAAGAATAGTCCNCCGCAAGATGGACACATGGTTGATACATGCCAAGTGTAATACAATTCAATAATATAACCAACATACTAATACGTTCGAACCATGGCCAAGTTATTAAACGTAAACATTGATATCGTGGTGTGGTTGTTTGTTTCAGACAATAAAAAACTTGATCAACAAATCCAGGAAATGGCAATTCATTTTCATCTGTTTCGTCCAGATTCCGCGAACGCGGCAAATCCGAAAGTATGTTGGATGATGCATGTTCATTTAGAAAACGATCCGTTTCGTGGATGTGTATATCATCATTTGGTATGGAGACAACTGTTGGTGATGAATTATGATAAAGTTTATTCGTATTATAAACAGTATGATTGGTGTTAATAGCGGTTGTTAAACGGTTTTTATCCATAATCGAGCAAATAATCTTGCTGCATCATTTGAATGGAATAAGTGATGGTAAGAGCGGTTAGAGTAACATGAGTCGACACCGATAGGCATCTATATATATATATATATACAAAATAATAAAATCAAATATTATTGATGTGTTTTACGTCAAAAGAAAAGCATTCGTATACACATATACGACTTCAATTCTCATTTATGTCAACTAGCTGTACTATAAAGGTGTATACTGTCATAATGTCCTCTTAGAAAGACGAAAAATGGTATATACTTTTGTATATGTGTGGATTGGTGGTAAAGAGAAAACATGCGACTAATGAGTAAATGAAGGAAGCGTAACTTTGCTGTAACTTACATCGAGCCGACAGAGAAGAACTAAGAGGTAAAACAACTTTCTACATATTCCATCGCCATCCTTGAGGTATTTTGTGTTTAAAGGTAAAGATTATACACATCTGAAAAGAAACAAAAATCGGCAATGAGAAAGAGAAGTAAAGACAAACGAATGTTGTTTCCAGTTAGACTTCTAACATTGTCTCATCCTGTCTATGCTTGTGTAATAAAATGTCGTTGAATTACAATATACAAATCTCTCGGGAAATCTTTTAGTTCGCCGTTCTTGTTGTTGCCGTTGCCAAGGGGCAACTTTTCACATTGAATGTGTTGCCGATGATAGTAATTGAAGATGCATATAGGAGTTTATAGATATCTGTCGCGACCAAATTATACTGTTTTACATATTTCCAAAGTTGGCCTGATAATTGCATTGAAATTATAGTTTTCGTCAGTGTACAGATCAAGAAAAATTTTGATGGATTTCTTTCCTTTCGTTCGTTTCCTTTATATGTTAAATAAATGATAAATGTTTGATTGATAACCATATTATTATACGATATGAATAGAAGTTCATTATAACTGACAAGTGCAATATATACACACATGTTCATTGAGGTATAAACATAATGAACATGGCACTCCTACGAAGTGCACAGAGATGAATGCTATTGAAAATAGTTTTTCTTCGTTTCGTAGTTTGAATTCAATCAGGTTAGTAATATGGTTTGCTTCGATATGCTCATGTTTGACGTCATTAATGGTTAACTAAGCATAAGAATTCGTCGATCATGCCGAGAGAATTAATTGATAATTTGATCATTAAAAAATTAATACTAGCAAGATAATCAGATTAGAACTCGTCGATTTCTTTTAATCATTAAATGACAGATTAAAAGTTTGACTGGGAAAAGTTTATTTGATTTGCACGAAAAGAAAACTTACTTTGTCTTGAATAATCTAACGTTCATTTCAAAAGAAGAAACTTGAAGTCGGTATACGAGTATGCCCTTATGTTCGTACCTTGTCATAATATATCCATCAATCTGTCTTTACTCATCTGTCTCTCTACTGGAAATGACTGTGTCAATCAATGTAACTTCGAAATGACGTATTCGCTAGGTTTATTTTGCGCTCTCCACTTTCATTCTTTGTAAACATGTTGTTATCTTCAAAAACTCGTTGTCAATTTTATCAAAAGGAAAACTATATGCTTCTTTGAATAGGAACGTCGACGATCATGAAAAAAAAAGAAGAAGAAGAAGAAGAAAAAAACGGGAAAGGAGATGATGAGAAAGAAAATAAATAATATTACTTCTCTCCATTTAGCTAAAACAAGACGCTAAAAAAAGTTCAAGTAAATGACGAGAATAAATGCTTATTTAGAAAAGAAACCTCATGTATAATAAAAAATGACTACTACTTGTATATTCACTTACCCGGAAGTTTGCCGGGTATTCTTATTTGTCACTCGGCTTGTCGTTTGATTTCGTCACGCCTTGTACTTCGTCGAGTTTCATAAAGGAGAAAATTTAATAAAGATCAACATCGATTTGAATAGAAGAAAACTGTGTAGATGATTAGAAAGAGCATGACCGAATGGGTCGAAGATAGAAAGTAGGTTCGCGAGTGATAGATAAAAAGAATCAGAGAAGCAATTGGAATGAAAAATGATGGAAATTACTTCGGCGACTGGCGACAGTAGGGCACGCGTGTATTTAATACTAAAAGAAAGAATAGTGTATTGATTTCAGTTTGGGTTTCTTTTTCTTCTCCTCTGTTGTTTCCTTATCGATTAGAATTGATGATGAGGGTTTTAGCAATGCATTACCAAATGAACGTTCTTCTCGCTACTCGTTAATATTAGAACATAAATATAAGCCGAAGACGAAGAGAACGAAGAAACAAACGATTTCATTTTGTTTTCTGCATTGCTATGGATTATGTATATATATATATATGGAAAAGATCTTTGTCACTCATTGTTGATACAACACTTCAGGAGTAGGAGATGAGATTGAATTGTGGCTTTTGGCACGATAAATTCCGTGCTAGGTGTAATAGAACGACATTATCAATAAACAACGTACTGGTAGAAGGAAAAATAGTTAGTTTTGATAACTGCTAATTAGAAGGCACTGGTAGTGGAACAGGAAGAAAACTAGCTCAAATTAGTTTCTCGTTCTGTCGATTTTCTCTGCTATATTCGCGGATGATTTCTGGCGAAGTCAAGAGAGGAGAAGAAGAAAGAGAGAGAGAGAGAGCAAGGACGACGTTGCGACTGAGGTACAGTAATGATTAATTTGACACTGTCGTCAACAACCGTTGATGATGACGGCAAAATGAATGGAAACCAGCCCAGCGTCAATAACTACTAACAAATAGTTGATGATTTCGAGATGTGTTAGAAAACGAGTTATACTATTGAATACGGATCTGAAATAAACATGAAAGAAAATTGAGCATGAATAGTGTTCGTCTACGTTTGAAAGATTTCAATTTCATGCATAATACATACACATATATATTCGACATTGTTTGTCATTTTTCTTCTCCTGGTAGTTTACAGATGAATGTGCATACTGAAATATCTGAGCATCTAAACAACGCATGCTTTTTATCGTTTGTTACAAGGATCTCACTTAATACAATTAGAAGTCACGCGTGTATCTGATCCCTTCGTTGACTCTCGATTTACTCTCTGTCAGCAGTCATTAGAGAAAATCTGAATGAAGGCGTAGGAATCTCTTGTTCGAGAAAGAATGAGGAGGACAACGATGACAACAATGTTATTGTTGATGGCCCCTCGCCGCGCATCGTTTTTGTGTCTCGTGAAGAGCAGCAAATTCGTTCCTCTACTATAAAATAATCAACAAGAATTGATGAGAAGCCGAACGTTACTAACTGGAAAGCAATACAATGCACTGTCCTGTGATACGATACGATGCGATGCGATAACGAAATTAAAATGTCGGATTTCCTCTTCGTTTGCCTATGAGATAAGAGCTACTAATTCGTATTTGTGTACGAAATAAGATTAACTTTTGATAAATCGACAGCTACTGCATCGCACTAATCGACAACAATAGCCAATTTATTTGACAAGATAGAAAAACTGCTATTGCTACCGCTTCTTCTTTCTCCTTTTCCTCGCGTTTTCTATCAAATTAGTCAGAGCAAATAAAGAACAAGCTCATCTTACCTGCTAGTATTATCTCTGACAAAACCTGATAAGTCGCAGTGTTCAGTCGGGAAATTCTACATCGTGAGAAACGTGTTATACTTCTCATTACACTACCAGTGTTACTACTACTATAATTAAGACTCTTTGAAAACCTCCATCCTGTGCTTTCGTGCATTTTCATTCCTATATATTTTTCTTCTCTTTCCTCGCTGGATTTTCCTTCTACACGCTCTTCTCTATCGTTTAGTATTGCTCAGTCGTTCAGTCATTGAAAAAAAGGGAAATTAATTGTTATGTTCTTTTCTTCTCTTCCCTATGTTGAGCTTATTTGCATCCTGCCTCACAATCTTCGTTTTGGATATTCAAAATACAAAGGAATGCCACTAACTTCTACTAATCTCCTCGCAAGGTTGTCTACTTCCGGTTCGTTTCTACCCGAGAAGTTCGATAACGATGCGCGCAAACGCACGCATGTGTGTATAAGATTAAAAGCTGATCGACAGAAAATACAAGCATTATCATCATCTTTAATTTTCATGCTTGTATTCGTTCTCTCGAAGTCTTTCGCAGGAGAATATCATCATCATCATCGTTGTCATCCTTTACTGCTATACACGCATGTACGCACGCATGATAATGGCTGGCACATTACACTAGTTAACAAAAAAACGAGGAAAAGAAAAAGCCCAAGTCTTTTAGAAAGACAACTTCGACGACAATGAATCGGAATACACGTATACTGAGAATAATTCGCTTTTTCTTCTCTTCTATAGATACTTCGCGATTGTTTATTGTCTCTCAAGAATAAAAATGGACTTAGATTCCATATAGTTTGTCTTATTCGCTTATATCTGAGATATTATTCATACTTAATCGATTAAACGCTCGCATGTTACTCTCTCGTATACTATTCCTAAGTCGATCATCGAACTTACATATTTCTCTAATAATAATGATCGCCGTTCTGTCGCGCATACACACACACACACACACTAGAGACAATAAACATGAAGAGTAGAGAGAGAGAGGGAGAAGGAAAGGGAGGGAAGGATGCACGACAGCATTGTCAACTGAAAAACTCAAAGAGAAGAAACACGGGGAAGAGAAAAGGACCGGAAAAAGATGTAGCAAGAAAGATCTCATCAAATTGAAGCAAGCATGACATACATATGCATACACATAGAGAGAGAGAGAGAGATCCAGTCGAGTTCACTAATAATAAGAGCATCAAAATGGTTTCTCATTCAACCATCTGTGAGCGATTGAGGCCAAAAGAGACGAGAGAGAGATAAGCAGATAGACAGAGATAGTAAAAGAAGAGGGAGTTAGAGCAGAAAACATAATATACATAGCATTAGAATATCGAATGACATTTAGAATATTGCTACCAAATCGCAATAGAAACGCATTCGTAAATATTTTGACACGACACTGCTTCTAACAGACTCACCCTCTCATCCTAAATATTTATGTAAGCAGACCACCAT